AAGCAAGATCCAATCCTGACCGATTACGACGTTTTCCCTTCGTTTTATTGTGTATCTTACACGGTCTTATAATCTCATACTTATTGTTTATAACTTATATTTTATGGTCCTTAGAAGAAGATATTGATAAAGAGGCGTTTCTAAGTATAACTGAGACCGAGGTGTCAAGAATAATTACTACGATTGGAGGGATTCGCTGTTTTCTTGAGAAGAGGAAATTATTGATGGACAGTATTAAATTGGTAAGACAAAAGTTTTTTGATAATTTTGGTGTATGCGTTTCAAGGCAAAACATAATTATTTTTCTATTTGCATTATTTTGTTTATTATAGGTGAATATTGATGATCCATTGGTAGTACATAACACTTGTGATGCGGGTGAAAGTTCTTCAACGAATAAATTTGATCGATTGGTACATAACAATGATGCGGGTGAAAGTTCTTCAACGAATAATCAAGTTAGTATATTAAGCTTCATATTATTTAAGACTTAGTATATATATATACAATTACATGGGCATTGTATTTCATACTGTCACAGGAAAAAAATGATTTAATTTTCATCGAGTTACCATTCATTTTGAATTTTCCAAGTGACTCTGATGTGGAAGTACGAGAAAGGGATACATCTAAGAGATCACAACAAGATATAGAAAAAGAGAATCGCACACCTAAAAGACTTTGTCAATGGTTCGCAAAAACACAATATCAGAATCTGGTAAGTGCATTTACCACAACTTTTCTGATTAATTGTCAGAGAAACTTCTGTCCTGTGTGTTAATAAATTTTTATCTCATATAGAATTTGGAAAAGATTTTGCAAGAACATATAAAAGGTGACGCAATATTATTTTATTATAAAGAACATGGCTTTCTAAATGCAGAAGCAAGAGGAATTCTCTTAGATATCGTAGCAAATTATATGCTTAAAATAAACAAAAAGTATGTTTTGTAAATTTTTAAAACTTTTTTAATATTTGTAGCATAGAACTCTATGTATAATTAACATGCATAATTATCTTATCCAGGCCCTCATCTTACGAATTTGGATTTGTTAGCAAAAAAATCTGTGAAGTGTTTCCTACTGAAGCTGAAGTAAGACAGTTTTTTATTAAGTTCCTTTAGAATAAACCAAATTTCTGTTTTGTCTAAATTATTGCTTATAAAATGTATTGTCTTCAAATTGTTATTGTTTTCTATATATAGGGTAAGGAATACAGTAATTGGGAGGGGTACAGTTATTGGCATATTAATTTTTTTAATTCAAATTTCTCATTAAATTTATTTATTTATTTATTTATTTTTCTGTAGGATACCTATTACTATCGGCCATTCACAAATGGCCCATCTCAAAAAAATGCTGCTGGAAAACTCGTAGATAAGGTACGAAATACCAAATCGCTACTGAAAAAGTTGGGTGTTGCATATCCCTTGAGGCAAGATGATGAAAACGATTCTGAAGAACCTGAAAGTCGATCTTCCATCGAAGGTAATG